CCTGCGCTGCCCCCAGGAATCCCCGCTGACCTACTCTTAGGCTAGACAGTTGTGAGGGCTGCTTTTCAGGAAAAAAAGACAGATGGAAGAACCCAGTTTAAGGCTATAGAATTTGATGGCAAATGAGCAGAAACAGTTCTAGGACAGAAAAACCTTTACTGAAGGAGCTCACAACCTCTAAATATAAAACTTGATGGTCTAGCAGCTTATCTGTAATTTAAGAAGAAGGACTTAATAGGTAGTTGCCTATACTGTTGATGGCTTAGGTGTCCAATAAAGTCAGCACCAGTAGCTCCTGAAGTCTTGAGAAAGCAGAACCCTCCAGGCTAGTTTTCAAAAGAAAAGGTAGGTGTACATACCAAACTTCATCTAATCCTACTGATTGACAATCAAACTAATCTTGTCTATTATTTTGTGAAACAAAAGGCAAGATCCCCATTAAGGCGGTGATCATTTCAACGGATAGAAGTTGGCCTTTTTAAATTGAGGTTTAATTTACATACGGTAAAATTCACCCTTTTCGTGTAAAGAATAGTCCTTATCATTCCCCAAAATGTCCTTGTGCCCCTTTGCAGCCTACCCTTTCTCCACTGACCTGTTTTCTGACTGGACAGTCTGCCCTTTCTGGAATGGCATATAAATGGGATCACATAATGCATAGTTTTCTATTGTTGTTTTGTTTTAAGAAAAAAAAAAACCCCACAGATTTATTTTCTCTCATTTCTGGAGATACCAAGGGGTCCTTTTTTCTCCTGTGACCTCCTTGGCTTATAGATGGCTGTCATCTCTCCGTGTCTGCACATGGTCTTCCCTGTGTGTGTTCGTGTCCAATTTCCTCTTCTTATAAGGACACCAATCATACTGGATTAGGGCCACCCTAATGGTCTCATTTTACCTTAATTGCCTCTTTAAAGACCTATATTTAATGGGGGTGTACAGTCATATAACTTTATACAGTAAAAATAAATTGGCAATTAAGATGGTAAATTTTAATGTATGCTTTTTAGCACAATAAACACATATACACACAAATAAATTGGGAAGTAGTTCTTATAAAACAAAAATTTTAATTTTCTCCCTAAAATCTATTTGATTTCTGGAGTCTTGAAAAGTTAGCATCCAAATTCAGTGGGATGTTTTCTTTTAGGTGGGGAATTTATCAAGTCCACATGAAGCCCTACAACTTGACCTCTTGAAAGTTAGATAAGAAGACAAGAGGACAAATGCTGATATTCCTATTTTGGTGAGCATATACAACTAGAATAAATTTTAAAAGGGCTGGAATCTTACTAAACTAACAGAAATGATATGGAAGAAATAACACACACTATTTCTTCTGATTGTGGAAAAGTCACTTACCATAATTCTTAGAGCTATGACAGAATACTTGGATATTACTTTCCAGTGTACACTGCAAAAAGAAATTCTGTTAGTGGAGACCGACATCTAGAGGACTCCTGAAACAGGAGCTGGTAACTAATTTATGAAGGGATCCTATCTAGTCCAGTCTATTTCATGCATATCTTCCATTTTAGGCATGCAAGTCACTGCGGGGAATCAGGGCAACATCAAAGAACTCCATGAGACTTAGCAATAGTTTCCACCAGAGGGTACTATAGGCCAAAAAGGAACAGTTGTTCTACCCAGGGTGAGTGAGCCACCCTTATGTCTTCCTATGGATGAATCCAAATCCTCACATCCACTCTGTTTGCCCAGCTTTGGGCTTGTGTCTCGTTTGGCTTTTCTGCCAATTTTTCCCCCTGAATGTATGTCATCCTCCCTGGTCACGAGCTGTACCATTTCCATCCGTCTCCCTCCCTCTGCAATCCTGCAGACATCTGGCAACGCTACACCTTTTTTCTACTCTCACATACTTCTTACTCAAGTCTCTTCAAACAATTCACCTCTTCCACCATGAATACCAGTTTTAAATCAATTGTCCCCAAAATAAAAACATTTTCTATAAAGTCTGTTTATAGTGATAGGGATAGGAATTATAATTTAAAGTTGCTTCAATTTCAATAATCTCTGAAAGATAATTTAGTGCCACACATGCAACTTTCTAAAAAGGACTTTCAGAAGAAAGGTTCAGTGAAGTTTGAGGACTAATGCCTGCTAAATTCTCAGCAATTCCTGTAAATCCAGGCCTGCCCGTACTCAAAATTGCGTTTTAATTCTTTTCCTCATTCTACACTCCACACACATGTATATACTATGTCTACTTTGTTATCACTTCCATGTATTTGCCCTACCCTGATGTATTCTAGGCTGGACATCAAATCCTTTAATCTTTCAATCCCACTGATTAAATTACGTTAGCAACTTTAATGAGATGATTCACATACCACACATTTCACCCACTTAAAGTGTCTAATTCCACGGCTTTAAGTATACTCAGAACTGTGTGACCTCACCAGTCAATTCTAGAACATCTGCATCACCCCCAACAAAGCCCTGTACCTATTAGCAGTCACTCTTCATTCCAACCTGCTACATCTACACCCAGGTCCTAGGAAACAAATCATCTACTTTCTATCTGTATAGATTTGCCTATTTTGGACATTTCATATAAATGGAATCCTACAATATGTCATCCTTTGTATCTAGCTTCTTTCATGTAACAATGATTTCAAGATTCACCCATGTTGTAGCATTTATCAGTACTTCATTTTCTTTATTGATGAATAATACTCCATTATATGGATATCCCACATGTAACTTATTCAGTCACTTGTTGATGGGCATTTGAGTTGCTTCTAACTTTGGCTATGTGAATAGTATTGCTATGAAGGTTTGTGTACATGTTTTTGTGTGGGTATGTTTTCATTACTCTTAGGTATTGTTATGGGTTGAACTGTATCCCTCTAAAAAGGTATGTTGAAATCCTAACCTCCAGTCCCTCAGAATGTGACCTTATTTGGAAACAGAGTCTTTATAGAGGTAATCAAGTATAAATGAGGTCACTGAGATAGGCCCTAGTCCAATATTATTGGTGTCCTTATAAAGAGGGTAAATTTGGACAAGAAACAGAGACACACACAGGGAGAACACCAAGTGAAGTTGGAGGGTTGCACTGTTGCATCTACAAGCCACAGACACCAGATTTCCAGCAAATATCAGGAACTAGAAGAGACAGGAAAATATTCTCTTCTAGAGCTGTTAGAGAGAGCATGACACTGCCCATACTTTGATTTAGGACTTTCAGCACTCTCAAACTGTGAGAAAATAAATATCTGTTGCTTAAAGCCACCCACTTTTTGGCACTTTGTTACTGTAGCACTAGGAAATTAACATAAGAATATACCTAGGAGTGGAATTGCTGGATCATATGGTAACTTTATGTTTAACCCATTGAGGAGCAGCCAAATTGCTTTCCAAAGCAGCTGTACCATTTCATTGTTTTTATTAATTATTAATGGTGTCAAAACTTCCCTCAAATATAGAAAATAAGCTGTCTATGTATAACCTTGCTCTCCACAGGTAATTTTTTCCCTCCATCCCTATTGCGATGTCAATCTTCTTTAACACCATTTGTTAAACTTTCCTATTTCATTCAAAAAAACACAATGACAGAGAGTTAACTCATGGATGCACCAGTGAAGGGGGTATCTAGACTAAGCTGTGGTGGGGGCTGCAGGATAATCTCAGAGAAATCTAACCCTGAAGACAGGCAGACATTAAATGGTACTAACCAGCAGGAAATTGTCTTGAAAGGGAGGATTTCCTAGCTAAGACAGGGAAGGAAAGAGGATCCTAAAGGAGACAACGGCATTTTCTTTTGGGAAGGCAGCCTGGCTGCAGAGATCTAAGTCGCATCTCTGCTGAAAAGGAGTCATGGTGGGATAGGATACGTCTTCCGGCAGAAACTCTGGATTTCTGAATCTCAGTTTGCTGTCGTCCTAAGAGGAGCTTCGACTCTTCTTCAAACAATAAACAACTATAATCCAGTCATGATGAAGCTATATATCATTTAGTCAAATTTCGGACTTTTCTGAACAAGGAAGAATAGAACCCTTCATATAGTTGAGTAAATAAGACACACACACACACACACACACACACACAGATCAAGTGCCATGTCTAGTCAATAAAGTGTTTAATAGCCAATAAAGTCTGTAGATTTTAGATCTCTGCACAACTAATGGCTTGTGGGCATGTTATAAAAATTAGGGGTAAAAGACATGTAAAAAAGTTTTCAATAAAATCTCATAAAGATCACTTAATTCTGTTACCAGTAACCTACCTTCATTTATTTCACCCACAATGCCAACCTTTTTTTTTCACAGCCTCATATACAATAGTAAAGCAGGATGGAAAAAGAATGTTGGAGAAATGCTGTCTAGTAAGCGTAGATAACTGCTGACAGTGACAAGAGGCAGGAAAACACCAGACCAGATTCACTCAAAAGCACAAATGTGGAGGATTATTCAGTGGAGGGAGAAAAGGGAATGAGAAATCCCCTGAAGGCGATCACTGATGACCAAAACTGGTGAGCTCAAGTCCTCAAAAGTTCATTTAGTTCTGTTACTTAAGAAGAAGGTAACAGTAGAGCACATTATAGGATACATTTAGAATGCAACCTCAAGTAGTTAAAATTGAAGCTACTGATCATCTCCAATAAGCGATCCTTTTATTTCCCTTCCCCCGAACTTTCTCCCAATCAATGACTAAGCCTGGTCTGAAAAAAAAGGACTGGAACAAAAAAATGGCTCAGGAGACCTAGGTAGGAAAACAGAGCAATGGTTGTTTAAAGATGAAAAAATGTGAGCAAAACTGAAGTCTGGGTAATTTTACTTATCTTGAAAGACTCAAAGAAACAAATTTACTTTGAATACCATTTCTACAGAAAATGCTTCCCTCCCTAGCTTCCTTTCATCTTACTCCAACAGCCACACAATTATTCAGACCAGAGGTTCTCCAAGGGGAGAAGCCCAAGCAGAGTACGGGTCACTTGGGAACTTCTTGGAAATGCACACGCTCAGGCCACACCTGGTACCCACCTACTGATTCAGAAACCCGAGGGCAGGGCTGGCACTCCGGTAGACCAGGCTCTCCCTCCAGGGGCTCCTGATGCTTGCTAAAGTCTGAGAAGAAGTGCATTAGATAATATAAATGCAAAAGGCACAGAATTTTTGACTTATAGAAAAAACTGATTCTTAAAAGACTATAAGGATAAAAGGGAATAGGGAAGGACAGTCTATTCTGTAAATTGTATGTTACTAGCTTAGCAAAGAAACCACATCCTTTCCAGTTGAAGGCCCACTGTAAACACTTAGCAACCTCTAATAAGTAGTAGCATAAAACGGTACCTTCCAGATGTTTCAGGAGTGCCCTACTGCTATTTCCATGAGCAGATATCAAAATGGTTTTGCCACTTAATACTTCAGGAGCAATCCTTTCATTCCAAAAGGGAAGGAGTCTCTCTAGAACATCCTTTAAGCTTTCAGATCGTGGGAGCTGATCGGCAGGTACATCACATACTTTATACCTCCGGTCATTGTAGATTTCGTGGTAGTAAGGATGAGACTCCTCAATGGGTGGTGGGGTCACACTGTAGCTTCTTCTCCAGAGCTTCACTTGTTCTTCACCATGATTCAAAGCCATTTTTTCTCTGTTGAGACCAATCAGGGCTCCATAGTGACGCTCATTCAGACGCCACGAACTTTCTACAGGAACCCACTCCTGCCCCAGCTCTTCCAGGATCAGCCAGGCTGTATGGATGGACCGATTAAGGACGGATGTAAATACAAGATCAAACTCAAAGTTTAGTGCTTTGAGTTGCTTCCCACAGTTCCGAGCTTCCTCCATTCCTTCATTATTAAGCTTCTGATCCACCCAGCTACAAAAACGATTCTCTTTATTCCAAGCACCCTCTCCATGTCTTAACATAATCAGTTTGTACTTGGACATGCTGATGGCTGAGCTTGCTAGTGCTTTCAAATGGACCAATATTCAATGACAGCAACACATCTGAAAGGGAAGAAACAAAGAGTGTAAGTTATTTTCCTCAATCAACGACTACCTGGGGATGGAAGCACAACTTCACAACAGCCGGTTTCTAAAATAAACTGGAATAACTCCTTTAACAGTTTTGACATCAGACATTCGGCAACTCATACAGGAAGGTACATACAGGCCTAGTCTACAGATAATTACAGGAAACCTAGCTGACTTAAATTTTCCGATGGCTGGATAGTATGTTAATTGTAAGATGTAAAATAGCAAAACAATCCATGCTAATGGCATGCTGCATTTCTGCCAGATAAAAAGGCAATTTATGCTTACAGAAGAGAGGGATTAATAGACTGTACTGTAGATGTCTAAAAGGATGACTAGCAGCTGGGAACTCCCAGCTCCTAGCAGCTGACTTTAGATTGAAGACATTCTTCTCACTTTGATTTTCCTCTGATGGAAAGAAAATATGTATTTACCAGTCACACCTTACTGAAGAAGTTACTAAACATGTTAATTCAGTGAACCACTACATTTATCTGATATGTCAATCACTGATTGGTGGCAATGAGCTCTTCAAAATCCCAAGCTACACTACACCACATACAAGAAAATGTAAGGTTCAACATCCAAACAACAGTACAAGTGACTTAAAGAGACATTAACACCAAGTATGGTACTCAACCTAAGTAATCTCTTACCTGCCTCAAGACTGAACTTGTGGCAGGAATAAATCCAGAAGCAAAACAAGCTATCAAATGCAGGCAGCTGAAAGACGCTGCCTGTTGAAATAGACGACCAGAGCAGGTCTGTGGGAGTGCGCAGAGGCACACTGATAAGGGGCCCTATCTCTGCCTCCCCAACCCTTCAGGTCTCCTACATGCACTGGCACACCTCAGTGGGAAGAGAATCCAGTCAAGTATTAGTAAACGAAAGATATTTTTGTATTGTTTCTTTAAAGAACCCCAGGATTCTAGTAAAGAATCTAGTAAAGTACGGGCAGCCTGAAAGTGATTCTGAAATCCCGAAGCTAACCTGCTGACCCCAAAACCTGTGGGTCCCTCTCTGTCTCCCAGAGAACCTGCAGCCCTGGCTGCATCAGCCCGCCTCTGCTCTCCTAGCAGTGCACACATCTACACTGACAAATGCTGCTGGGTTGACGTGCCCAGCGCTCTCCACCTCCACCCCAGAGTTTGCCACACTGGGGAGTAAAGATTTTATGAACATATTCTATGAACATCGAACATCGGGGACTGACCTTCTGCCATTCTTGGCAACTTCCATTCACTGGAGATTTGTTGTTGCACTTAAACTGTGATTCAACCACAGTTACATAACAATCGGTGACAAATGATCTAGTTTCTTCCTTTCTTTAGAAATTCCTAGAGATTCTGAAGGAAGAAAAAGTCCTTAAAATAAAGCTTCATATTTCAGTGGACTGCAGGTCTGAGGGAGGAAGCAGACTGAGGTGATTTTCAGGCAGTGGCGAGGCTACCACAGACGGTTTATGAATTCCTTTTCACTGGGCGTCGGGTTTGATGCGTTCATGCTTGTGGAGCAGGGAACATCAGGTCACTGGAAAAGCCTGGGCTCAGGGCTCAGCTGAAGGCACAGAGCTCAGAATTTTCAGAGGGAGAATGATGCTTCTACCCCAAGCCCAGAGGGCATCAGGGTGGCAGCAGGACACAGAATGAGAAGACAAACATCTGGGTGGTGTTTTGCCTGGTGGTTATTGGACCCAAAAGCTCAAGCTTTAGGGCCCCTCACCTGGGAATGAGAGAGAGAGAGAGAGAGAGAGAGAGAGAGAGAGAGAGAGAGAGAGAGTGTGTGTGTGTGTGTGTGTGTGTGATCTGCAAAAGAAAGATGACTTCATACTGTTTCTTTAAGAGCCCTGACCCACCAGGCGGTAGAAGCTTCAGACCCCTCAAACCTGGATCGACCCCTTGGTACCATTTGCTTTGTTTTCCGGTAGCAGAGGAGGAAGGGGATGGAGAAAAGAGAAGCTATCAACTGTTCCTCTACCTCAACCCTTACTTTCTTGTCAAGCAAGAAGCCTCATTATGCTAATGAAGCCATTCTCCCTTCAAAGGAAAAAGGGTAGATATGATGGACAGCTTCTGTGGGCAGAAGTATGCCCCCATCATCTTCTGATTATGAACTACATTGAGAGAACAAACACAGGGCAATAATCATGAACACCCGGGTACCTGCCACCAAGCTCTGCAGCATTTCTATCTGTCATATTTGCTTACTTTAAGAAATAAAACAATTTCTGTGCCCCCCTCCCCAACAAATATAAATACTGGAGCAGAGAAATAGCACTACAGCCACAAAGGCCATATGGTTACACAGCCATCCCCCCACTCTGGTGCACAGCGGGTGAACTGAGGAGGAGGGGCCAAAGTAGTGATCTGTCTCAGGTAAACAAAAGTCACTTCCCTCTTCCTTGCTGCTCTCAACTGATTGTTCCCATTTAATTAACTGCTCAATATTTACAAAGAGCTATTGAGATTTAAATTTTGCAGTCTTTAAGATTTTAATCATTGTGGTAGTTGGCATACCAAGTGTTTACCAATAAACACATAATACTGTAGTTAGTTTCATGTAAAGTTTAAGCCAGGGGCTGCAAACTCCTGTCCTAGTGGCCACACAGATGTATGAAGGACAGTGACTAGGCTACAGGGGTGGTGGGATGGATGAAATGCAGGCCACAGACATGCTTCTCTGATGGATGCAACTCTCATGTAAGCGGATGAAGCTATAGCATAACCTGAACTCACTGAACTAAGGATATATTTCTCAGAGAACTTCTCTGGAGAACAAAGAAAAGATGGGACTGCTGAAATCAAAGACTATAGAGAGAATGCAAGACTTAGAGTCAGACCATAAAGAACCTATGGACTCGGTTTTGTCTTTAGAGTAAATAAGTACCTTTTCTAAAAAAATTAAAATGACCATTTCACATTTCAGCTCCTGAAAGTTTATAGAAAAATAAAAGGAGTAGCTACAACTTAGCTCCAGCCCATTTCTCTGTGAGACTGAGAAACTGAAGTTCCTAGATCTTCCAATTTTCAAAATCCCTGGAAATGTACATTTTTATGAGACATCTAATAGAAATACTGGTGACCAATCTGAACACATTTTTTAAAAACATGTCTGCAGGCTAGACTGAGTTGCTAGTGTGTAGCCTGTGTTTTAAAGGTGGCTCTCCTCCAGGCCACAGATGAATAGGGAGGCCACCATCCCCCAGGAGATGGTGACATCCCAAGCCTCCAGGTTCTCATCTCAGATTTTTTCTATCACCCAATACATTCTTTCAACGGACAGATCCTCCAATCCCCATGTATGCCGGGTTTCTATACCTGACGCTCCTCACCAAACCCTTTGCAAATGCCCTGCAAAGTCCAAGCTCTGTAATCCAACACCCACTTGCTCACCTTTGGACTCTTCCGGGAATGCCTCCTCCACCTCTGAGCTTGAAACAAGTTCAAATAAACTGAAAGGAAAACCACCTCTCCCGTGGGTCTGTGTCTGTTTTGTGGGGAGTATTCGTGAATGGGCAGGTGATGGGCAGGGTCCTGCTCCCTCTCAAAGGCCTCCACCCCGCCCCCTTTTAGGGATGGCAGAGCTCGGATTCTGAGTCTCGCTATAATCAGTTGTAGCTCTTTATCCCCCGTTTACTAGCTGCAAACTTCCTGAAAATTTAGCACCCTATTTAAAACCATCAATTGCTTCCTGTTGGTCTTAGGATAGAGTTCATAATCTTTAATGTGACCTGCAAGGCTTTGCTTTGCTTTTATTTCCTCAAGTACACCAATGTTCTTTCTTGCCACAGGACCTCTGCTCATACTGCACCCTACACAGGCCCCCCAGGCTCATCACATCCTCCTTCCACTGTCACATCAGTCCCCACCTGCTTGAGGTGACGTCTAGTCACCCTTTAAATCAACTGTGTCCAAACAAAGTATAATGCAAGCCACTTAGATAATTTAAATTTTCTAAAAGCCATATTAACAAGTATAAAGAAATAAATGAACTTAATTCTAATAATATATTGTATTAAGCTTACAGTTTCAAAATATTATCATCCAATACATGATCTATCTAAAATTCTCAATGAGCTATTTTATATTTTATTTTTCATAGCAAGTCTTTGAAACATGGTATTTTATACTTAAAGCACTTCTCAATTTGGACTAGTCACATTTCAAGGGCTCAACAGCCACACATGACCAGTGGCTGCTGAACCGATCAGCGCAGATTAGCTGAAAGTTACTTCCTCTAGGCCAGTGGTTCTCAAACTTTCACATGCATCAGAAACCAGGAGAAGAGGTTAAAACAGATTGCTGGGCCCCATTCCAGAGCCTGACTGAGTAGATGGTGGGGGGGTGCTGAGCATCTGTACTTCTAACAAGCGGGCAGGGGATGCTGGTTTGAGCATGGTGCTTTCAGAATGTCTGTTGGAGGCGGGCTTCTCTGCCCTGCCTCCTCGCCCATGGGAAATGGTCAGGCCTGCGTGGGGCCCCTTGTGATGGGCCACCTGTTCCGTGTTAGACGGCTTGCTGCATCAGGGTGTCTTGTGCCCACTGCCCTATCCCCAGATCCTAACAAACGCTTGGCGCACACTAGGTACTTGGTGGACAGGTGTGCTGACTGAACCAAGAGCATGTTGAAGAGGCTAAGCCTGGCCAGTTCTAGTGGCAAAACTGCCAGAGTAAAAACGATGTCTGCCAACCCTTCCGTTGGCAGGCCTGGGACGTTAGGAAACTTCAACTTAAGAATCATGGTGTATTCACTGGCAAAGCCAGAGCCGAGAATAATCATCCATTTTCTTTTCATATCCTTTACAGTTTAGTACGTCCAAGAATGGCCATAATCTCCACAGAGAAAAAAAGACTCAGATTGACTTGTTTAAAAACTTAACAGCCAGCAAGTGCACACTGGACCTGGACTCCAGGTCTTCCGCCTCACCAATGAAGACTCTAGGGTCTCAGCTGAGGTCTAGGCTCATCTGGCTT